GACCGAGACTGCCCGAGACCGAGACCAAGGCAAACTGAGACCGAGACTCTCGACCGAGACTGCCCGAGACCGAGACCAAGGCAAACTGAGACCGAGACTCTCGACCGAGACTGCCCGAGACCGAGACTCTCGACCGAGACTGCCCGAGACCGAGACTCTCGACTAAGACTGACCGAGACCAGCCGAGACCAAGACTGACCGAGCCTGAGAGGCTCGGTCTCGGTACATTCCTAAATAGACCTAATTAGATTTGAACTTAATCGAGAGTAAAAATGAAGAACAATTTCAATTCTATGAACAAATATTTTTCATATAAACTAAACTATTGAATATCTAACACTTTTCTACCTTCTATTATTTTGAAAAATAATTTTATTATTAACAATAAAAAAAACGAAAATTATTATTAGTTAGATAAATTTAACATACCACAAGATTACCAATGACAAATGTAAAAAGAAAAAATGGTATACATGGCCAACCAGCACATTGAAGACATGTCCACATTGATTCAATCCATTCACCACATAATACACGAAAAACAATCCTTTAATAAATATATATATATTTATTTTCTATTAATTATATAAAATTAAATTATTTATATTTACATAAATGCATGAAAAAAATCAAAAAAATTCCATCTTGGCATATCTTTCTCAAATTTAATAGCATATTTTGGACCAAATAACTAGAATTTTTATAATATAAAATTTTTTTATTATGTTTTAATATATTTTACCTGCATGCCCATAACAGCAAAAATAAAAATAATAATAACAAGAACTAATGTTAAATTTCCTAAAGCTCCAATTGTTTTACCAATAATTGACATCAAACGATTAAGTGTTGGCCATGATTTAGCTAATTTAAATACTCGTAACTTAAATTATAAAAAAAATTCAAAAATAAAACAATAAGATATTCAATCAACATACTAAACGAAATGATCGTAAAACACTTAAACCTTTTATATTTGCAAGACCTAATTCAACAAGACTAAGTGTAACAATAATTGCATCAAATACATTCCATCCATTTTTAAAATATTTTGCTGGTGCTTTAGCTATAATTTTTAATATTGCTTCAGTTGTAAATATACCAGTAAAAACATAATTTCCTGTTGTTAAAATACGTGTCATTTTATCACTTTGACCAGGTTGATCAAGTGCCATAAAAAATGTATTTAATATAATACATATTGTTATAAATAAATCAACAAATGCATCCAATATAAAAAAAGCCACACCTGCCTAGAAAAATAAAACTGATTTCTAATATCACAATAAGAAATCTTTGTACGGAATTTTGAGCTGGGATTATACGAATACTGAAAAGTGGGCGCATCCTCAGCCTATTGCTGCGGACACATCGGACTTGTACAGTATTTTTAACATTAATACAGTGATAATTAGAGATCTGCGGGACGAACTTTCTCGTATCCCGATTGTCCTGCGGGACGGGACAAACGGGATTCAGGACTGTCCCCCAATACTCTAGTTTTTTTCTATATGGTCCCGTCCTGAAAATTTTTCAATAGTTCCGAATCCTGTTTGTTCCGTTCTGAAAAATTATTGGAACCAAACCGATTGTCCAGCAGGACGGGACAAACGGGATTCGAAACAGTTCCGCAGTACTCTAGCGATAACAGAAAAAAACTAATTTTCAAATTTTGACTTGGAATTTTCTATATAGAGTGCATAATTAGTTGAGAGCATGAACTCATTTGAGTATAGTCTCGACTCAAAGACAATTTGTCATTTGAAGAACTTCATTCATATTGTCTATAAGACAATAGTCTCCGATTTTTCAACAATGGTTTTTTTTTCCTTTTTAGTAAAATAATATCATATTAAAAATTTTTACATTAAAAGAAAATTCCTTATGATCATATTCGAAATCGTTTAACGAAAAAAAAGACGATTGATCTATTGATAGTATTCTCTCACATAAGAATATCTAATCGATGAAAAATTTCAAATCTTTTAAATTGAATAAAACATACTTGAAATTTTTGAAATAAATGTGATGGAAAATTCCATTCACAACAAATATTCCATAGAAATTTCATTGTTGGTCGATCACATGTATTAATTGTATCCATATCTGAAATGACGATGTTCAGATGTTTCTTATGATGATGTTGTAACTGCTGTGCATGCTTATTCGTATTTAGAAGTAGACGACACTCAATACGTGAACGGTGTCGGTCGTCATCATGACGATCGACTTTGTACAATATAGTGTGCTGTTCTAGATAATTCACCAAATCGAAACAAAACAAAACATATACAAAACTACAAACATGCATATTAAATAAATATTAAAAAAAAATTAAAATCATACGTGTATATTTTCAATTATTGTAGAACAAAAAAAAAATAATAAATTAGGGTAATTAAGGGAAAGAAAATTAAATTAAAAAAATAAACTTATTTGAGATTATATACAAAAAGAAAAAGAAATAATAATGGCATTCTTTTCTTTTTTTTTTGTCGTTTTCTATCTTACTCTAAAAATTGTAAATGGGTATGTATGGATATAAAATTCTAGGTATCTACTTTTAAACTAAGTGCAATAAAAAAAATTCTAGGATATGATTGTGATTTCTCACATATGTTTTCCTAGTTGAAATACGAAAAAACCTATCTATTAGATATGAATTTAACTTACTTTTGGATCGAATACTTGTTGTTTCAGATTTTGGACGTGATAATACTTCGCCAACATGTGAATATTTTATATGAGTTTTTGGTTGATAAAGCTGAAAAAAAATCAACAAACATAGAAAGAGAAAACAAAGAATTATCTACGAAAATAAAATATAAAATAATGATGAATAATATTATTCAAAGAAGTTTATATATATAAATGCTGTATAAGTTTTATTAGAACGAATAGTCAGTCAAAACAAAAAAAAACGACATTTTACGATCGTTTTTAAAAATAACTTTTTATTACTAAACAATAGAAACATACAGCCGTCTGTTATAATCTTAACAATAGAAATGAGTAATTTCGATTTCATATTATTAAAAAGAAGCTGAACATACTCTAGCAATGAAAAATTTGATTTCAATCTGAAAATCACCTGTCCAATAATATTTTCTTTTTGCGAAGTGGATCATTTTTCAAAAAATAATTTATGATTACTAGGTTTCCAACTTTATACAGATACTATAACCAGGCACGTACCCAAAATTTTGCTGAGGGGAGAACCCACCAGAGATGGACAAAATCGCACCGCGCCTCCCCGCGCCACTGCTCGCGCCTAGGCGCTACGCACATCTCTCTTTCTCTTTGCTCTACCAATCAGTTTCTCAAACTCCACCGAATACCAGGATGCTCTAAGCGTGCGCTCATCGAAGCTCAGACTAGTGTAGCGTAGGCGTGAGCAACGGCGCGGGGAGGCGCGGTGCGACTTTGTCCATCTCTGGAACCCACCATGGAAAAATTACAAAAATTTGCTGGGAAACAAACGTATACTTGTACCCCCCTACAGGCGTCTTCAGTCCTGAGGGGGGGACCCCATGGGGCTTCCACCCCTTCGGTACGTGCCTGACTATAACAATATAACTGTGAAAAGAATGAAATCAGTACTAAATTTAATTTTTATGTCATTCAAAACGAATGGTTCATTTTTTTTTAATCCATTCTGCAACTTCATAATTCAATAACTTCTCTCAAAGTTTAACTTAATTGATATCATAAATAGCACTTATTTAAGCTATTCTCATGATTAATTTAATATCAAGTATACTAGATGATAGTGCCAAAGGGTATAAAGTTAAAAAGAAAGTCTTTATGTCAATATATCTTATAGAATGCATACATTTGAATTTTCTATGATAACTTATGACTTGTTCATTTTATTTTACATTAGCATATAAATAACTCTTGTTTATATATATATATATATCTTTTAGTTCTACTGCTAATCTTATTTTTTTTTCTGATTAAAACATAGTTCAAAACTCGAGCTTTTTTTTCTTCTATTCTTCATCTTTCATAAAGATAAACAAAAGTACAATCTTAATTTACGGTAACAGTTGATTCATTATCTGCATTTTGTCGTTCCGAAATATGAGAAATATTTCTTGGTCGTTGTTTTGATGATGTTTCATGACTTTTAATACTTATTGAATTTTGTTGTATTTCATCAAGAAATGGTATTGTTGTATCAAAACTTTGTTCTTCATCTATATTTATTGTTTGATTTAATAAAACATAACTTGAATTTTCAAATAATAATAATGGTAATGGTTGCATTGATTCTTTTTGTTCTTGATCATAATTCTAAAATAACACAAAAAAAAACAAAAATTTTCTTTTCAATTTTTTTTTTTAACTTATTTTTATTACTGTTCGATTTTGATCATATTCAATTGAAAGACTTGAATATGATAATTGTCGATTTGGATTTTCAAAAAAAAGTTGATTTTCAATATTTTGATCTTCTATTTGATATAAATTATCAAATTCATATACTTTTCGTGCTTCTTCATTTTGTTGTTCAAGTTCATCTTTAACTTTACGTCGTTCACGTTCTTTTTTTTCAGCATTTACTTTTTGTTGTTGTTCTTGATATGACATTGATACAATAGCTAAGATTAAATTTACCAAATAGAATGAACCAAAAAATATGACAGCAACAAAATAAAAAAAATGATAACGACCAGCAGCTGTCAATATCTTTTATCAAAGAATAAAATAGTTTAAATTTTAATTAAAAAAAAACAAATATTTTCCTACCAATTGATAAAGATTTTCCCAATAATCTTGTGTCATTAATCGAAAACAAGATAACATAGCCCAACCATAACTATCAAAACTATAGAAAACAAATATATATATATTTATAATAGATTAAAATAAAATAGTATACCTTGTATATCCAAAATCAGGACTATAAAAGAAAAAAAAAGCATTTTAATTATTAGCAAGATTAAAAAAAAAAGTAAAAATTTACTTTTTTCCTCGATCTTTCCAACAAACATAACCTTTCGGACATTTTCGACTTCCACTAGCATTTCCACAAAGTACATAATTATCATCTTCTTGATACCAATAAGCTATAAAAATAATGTATTATCTACTATTATCTGCATCTACATAAACCTTTGCGACTTAACAATTTATTAATAAACATACTTTCGTTAGCAATTTCATTTATATAAGATTCATATGACATATTAAAACCAACTGTAGAAAAATTTGAATTATTTAAAAATGATTCATAAGTTGGTACACATTTTTGTCGTAAAACTCCCATGTAAAGCTGTAAGCCTACCTAATAAAAATTACAAAAAAAAATAAATAAAAACTTAATTTTCTCATATAAATAAATCTATAAAATATTCAAACCAAAGCAAATATAGATAGAATAAAACTTGATAAAACAGTAACATCTCGTAAACAAATAAGAGATTGTATTAATGCATCAACAATTGTTTTTAAACCTAAAAAAAACAAAAGAAAAATAATTTCAAATTTATATATTCAATATAATATCATACCCGGAACAACAGCAACAGTTTTCAATGCTCTTAATACTCGAAAAGTTCGAAGTACTGAAACATTTCCCAAATTAACAAAAAATGTAATATATCTAACAAAACATATAAGAATTCATATGTTTTCTTTTATCATATTACATATAGTTTAATACATACGCTAAAGTAATGACAATAAAATCTAACCAATTCCATGGATCACGTAAAAATGTAAATTTTTTAAGAATAAATCCACGTGCAACACATTTTGTTAATGCTTCAAGTGTATAAATTATTGTAAAAACATATCTATTTTATTATTTAAACAAATGTTACATATTTAAATAAACAAAAAAGGAAAAGAAAATATTTACTCATTTGTATCAGGTACATTTTTAAGTGTCATAAATATACAATTAGTTAATATTGTAAGTATAACAAATGTACTAAATAATGAATGTGTTAATATTCGTATAGCTAAACGACGAAGACAACTAAATGGAGAAAATATAAAACATGCTGGAGTTGAACTAAATCGAAATATTGTTTTATTTCGATTAACAACCATAAATACCTAAAATAATAATTATAAAAGGGCAAACTTTAACTTCTTTTTTTATTAGAAAAACATTACATATTCAGTTCGATAATACCAATCAATTTCTTCAATTGGTTTACCAATAAGTTCAGCAGGAAATTTTGTTTGTAATATTCTTGGTAATGTTTGTCCAACTGCTAATTCTTTATTTGGTTTACGTTTTAAATATAATTGTTCATATTTAGATGATTTTGTCATTGAATTATATTGTTCACTATCGTCTTCACGTATTATTTGTCGTTGTAATCGTTCAGAAGCAAGACGTTCAGCTTCTTCTTGTCGATAACGTTCAATACGATGTAATGATTCGTGTGTAAACTCGCGAAAAACAATCGAGTTGTAATCCATCCTTATTATCGACACTTACCATCTGTTTATACATACTTTATTAATAATATAAATAATAATAATAAACAACAACAACAATTAAAATAATTATCTCGTTGAATAACATTGATAACTAAGATAGTTATAAAAGCAAAAATAATAAGTAAAAAAAAAAAAGTATAATACAAATCGAAAAATGATATAATCATCATTAAGTAGACTCTTCTCTCTCTCTTTCAGTGTAACAGATGTTCACAAGTATGAAAAGAAAACGAAATATTCGAGGCTTTTTTTTTCTTATTGTTTGATCTATTGACTTACAGATAGATTTCATTCGATGTTTCATATTATTGTATACGTCTCTTCTTCTTTTTGTCTTTTTGATAATATATTCTTGTTCACACTTTGATCAATCAATGACTAATTCTATGTAGTGAAATGAATGACTAGAAGAGGATAGTTGCGCGTTAACAACTTAAATAGATTGATTTAGAAAAGGGTGGTGAACATCACGCAGCAACAAAACGTCGTCTTCATCTATCGTTTATTTAATCTTATCCCTTTTTTTTCTTTTACTATCTCTTATTATCATCATCATCTTCATCTTCTTCTTCGTTCCATCTCAGATCTCTTTTGAACAATTGTTATGTATAGATCAAGAAAAAGAAAACGAGAAAAAAAAAGAAGATATGTAAAGACTTTAGGGAATAGAGTTTTAACTATGATTCTCAATACATTGACAATCGGATGCTAGAAGAATATCGATCTATCTATCTATCTGTTTTTTTACCAATTGCTAATCGTTATTGAGATCTGAAGCTCTAAAACCGTATCGGCTGACTATTGAATATGTCTCGTTAACTTAATATTGATGTTCGTTTCGTTTGTCCTGTTCATCGATATAAGGTCAACGAGAATTTCCTATGTTACTATCATTTCTTCATCTTATTGTTTTCTTTAGCTGAAAAAGGAGAATGAAACAGTGAGTGACGAAGAACTGATGACAAGAGAGAGAGAGAGAGAGTAACAATCCAACAGTCACGCATATGGGTCCGGATGATAGTGATGATGACGACGACGAAAGAGAGCAGCATAACGTTCCTAAATCTGATTTCTTCGTTGATTAGCATATCTAATAAAATGCTTTGAATAATAGGCCGACTACAGGGAAGAAAAGAGAGAGAAAAGAGTAGCGAGTCGTTTCTTCGTTCAATATCAAGTTCAGATCGTTCACATCTTAGCTGTCAGTCAAGGCAAAAAAGATAACAAAAGAATATTAAAAACATCAAGAGAGAGAAAAGAAGCAAGATCTTATAGAACAATTTTCGAAAAAAAAGAAAATTTATTCCAATTCAATATCTTAATATAATTATGCTTTCAACAACAACAAAAAAAAAAATTACTTCTTTTTTTTTTCTTGTTGTTTTTATATTTTTAATGAATTCAATAATAAAAAAAAAAAAAAAAACTACTTGTTATTTTGTTCTTCACATCATATTTTAATATTAGAATTATGTAAGAAACTGTGCAAAAAAAGAATATGTCATGTTTTGAGACATCTCAAGAGATTTAACATTATGTTTATAATTTTATATTATTCTATATCAATAAATTGATGTTCTAAATTAAAATATTCAACTTGAACAAAACATCAAAACAAAAAAAGAATTTTCTTTTCTCTTCATAAATATACAAGTATTTCGATCATTTGCATATCCGTACATTATATTATTATATTATTAATCATCTCACGACTAAATCCGGAAGGAACAAACTTAACATGAATTTTAGTTACTATTGTTTTGATTAGATTTTAAAATAAGAAAATCAATTTTATTTATATTCATAAGAAATTAAGAGTTGTCTATAAACATTTTATTATTATTATTATTTTATTTTAAAACAGTTTGTTTAATTGATGACATATTGTTATTTATTTTGTTGAATAATATTCATCAAAAAATAAAACCAAAAAAATGACATTATTTACTTGAGTCTATTAAACAAATACAGACACATCATATTACATTATCGTTATTCACTAATGTCATTCATTTGCACGTTTTTTTTCCATTCAATGTCAATAGTAACAATGACTTGAAGAAGAGATGAAAAAGAAAAAATCCTATATATATATAGGTTAGCTTGCTATTGTCACCATCCGTTTCCACTTAATTCAATAGGACTATTCGATATTTTAAGTGTAGTCACTACGATTGATGTATATGCATAGTGATGTATAGTTATATATAATTATTCATCAATCTGTTCTTGTTCTATACATTTTTGATTGACAAGAAGGTGTATGGAACACGTATGTCAAGCATACAATTAATACATAAAGAATCTATTGATAAATTCTATTGAAATAAAATTTTTTTTGATTTTAATTCTAATATTTTACTACTATATAAAGAAAATTGATTGATTATATAGTAGTCATATTTACATTAGAAACTTATAAATTTTAACCTTGATACGATTTTCGATTAATAGATATGAATAATAAATAATTATACAAGCCAATGAAATATGAATCGATAAAAATTAATAGCAAGAATCTTCATTTCGATTATCTAACTATTATATTCTATTTATGATTTAATGTTTCTTTTTTCTGTTTTCTTCTCTTATTACTCGATTTATAAATAAATAGAAGCCGTAAAGATGATAATATTCTAGAATAGATGTCAAATATTCATAAAGACGATGATGATATTGTTCTAATCTTTCTTTTTTTTTTGGCTTATTAAAGATTGAGAGAAAATTTATACTACAGAAAAGAAAGTAACTATTCCGTCCAATAATTTCACGTACACATGTATTCTTCTAAGGCTTCGTATTCGTCGTCTAATTGACGGTTGTGTATTGAAAGTTGTCCATAATCATCATCAATATTCATACTGCGAGACAGTTGTTGCGTCGCGTCGGCTTATATGTAACAAGTTCTTTTTTTCTTCTTCTTTATAACACGAAAGAAAGTGTTAGAATATGAGTGAGATGCCATATTGATTCAATACAGCATCCTAACACTTAGTGATGGGGAAGCCGAATAATGATGACAGGTACACTTGAAATTTTCTTACATTTTAACAGACACTATTGGTCATCTTTTATTATTTTTTTCTTTTAATCTTTTTTTTTTTATTAGTCAACTTGTTGATCGTACATCTTCACCGTCACCAATTCAACCTTTACCTCCACCACCAACTGACTTTGATATGAATTGGCCGACAACATTAAGTCAATCGGAGCCAAGTTTTCAATCTCGTCAAAGTCAATTATTAAATCGTTTATCATCTACTGCTTATAATTCATCATCTTATAAAGTATCAATTGGACACGAAACTGTTAATATAACAGAAATAGCTCGTCATCGTGAATCATTATCAGATCAAACAATACCAATGGTAAATGTTAATGAACGTCGTCGATTGTCTACATCACGAAAGGGTGCTAATATAATAAGTTTATGTTTTATGTGTTTTGTTTCTGCTTCACTTATACTTATTGCTATATCAACAATGAATTTAATGTTAAAAACAAATTCTATACATAATCATGATATGATTTCTCATTTAGCTAAATCAATGAATATAACAACAAATATTATTTATATGATAGCAACATCAATACCTATAACAGATACAATATCAAATCTTATTATACCAACATATGATCGTTGTATACGTGAATTAGCTACAGTTCTATGTTTAATAATTATTGTATTAAATTGTTTTTGTGTATTAATATTTAGTATTGAAATATATCTTGGTTGTAATATAACAAAAGATAAATTAAATTCTTATCGGTAAATAATTTTCTTTTATTAATATTTAAAATATATATATATATATATATATTTATTTTTTTGAATATTTTAATTTTCATAGTTTTACTTATTTATTCAATTCTTCAACATCACGTTTTATAGCTATATGTAGTTTTTATGCATCAATACCAGCATTTATACTTGGTATAAATAATGAAAAATATTTTGAATCTTTTTTTTTTTAATTGAATTATTTTGCTTTTTAGTTATGTGTTTATTTATATTATTAAATATGTCACTTATACCAGCAATAACATCATTAATTGTTCTTGGTTTTGGTTTAATATTTATTCTTATGACACTTTTAACTTATTTTTTAACATGGCAAAATAATAAATTTAATGGTAAATTAGGTGGAATAAATTCATCTATATATCATACAATTGATGGAACACATATATGTGATGGTGATATTGATATAGCTAAAACTGATGAACTTTCAACACTTGTATAAAAAGAAGAAAAAAAAAAAACGTTTTTTTTTGTTTTTGTTTTTGTTTGATTGATGTATATTTAACAATATAGATAAAATAGAATTGTCTAGATTATTTGTTTATTCATAGATCATGAATAACATACTTATTCTTGAAAGTTGATAGAAAAATTTTATTATTTGATATGATAAACGATATTTAATAATTAATTTTATTGTCTGAAACTTCATAAAGTATACAGACAAGGTATTTCTTTTTTTTATTATTTTATTGGTTATTTTTCAAGAGACGCAATATAATCGAACTTGAGACATTAAATTTTACTTTGATGTATCAATTATACCTGTGTAACCTCTATGTACTTTGAAATAATATCGCTTCAAGTAGTCTAGAAGTAATGCAAATTTTTTTTCTTTCTATGAAGGATTTTGTAATATGATTTTAGTCTGAAAAAAATAATGATTTATTCACGTGAAAAATAAATATTTTGAGAACTTTGCAGACATTATTTTCACTTTTTTATTTGAATATAATACCATTAAAGTTCTTTTGCGAAGATTATTCTTTGTCATGATTTAGATTTTTTCAAAAAAAAAAACAAAATCATTCTTTAATTTATATGCATTACGTGTTTGATTAAGTTTATATTGGATTTTTTTTTTTTTTGTTTTGTCATATGTTTGTTTTTATGAAATCATGAGCAACAAACACACAAAAAAGAAAAAAAAAAACGAGAAATTTATTTAATAATATGC